TTCGGTTCATGGCTTGTATTAACACCTTCCAAGGAAGCCTGTGGGATGCTAAATAGTTCCCACAGGTAAAATTTACACTATTTCAGCACCTTTTCCTTGAGCTCATCCAGCACTTCCTTTATGTCCAGGCTCTCAGCCATCACTCCCCATACAGGTGGGCAACTGTGGAAGCAGCTCTTAGGTAGGGTCAATCAGTGCAATGCAGCTGTCCCATCTCAGGCAGGACAGGGATGGGGAAACTCTGGGCTGACACTCACATACACCCCCCCCCCCCTCCAGCCTTTGCCTTCCCACTGCCCTACCTGCACACCCCTACTGCTGTACCTCTGCCTGTCTGGGCTGAAATTCCCTCAGCTCAGCACTTGTCTTCCATTACTGTAGCCAAGGCTGTCCCTGGTTATCATACCCTCCTAGCCAGTTCTTTGTGTTAAGAAGTCACCCCAACATCCTTCAGAAATCTGCTGGACTGCTTCCACCCTGCTTTGTTCCTCTTTCAGCAGAGGTGAGGGAGGTTAAAAATAAAAACCAGGGTCTCTTATTTGCAGACTTCCTTCTGATGCTTAAAGAGGATTTTAGACAAGAATTATCCCTCACACCACTCTGTATTCCAAATATTTTACTGCTTTTTTTTCCTGTTGGTGTGTATCAAGCAGAACTCAAATGTACCAAAACAGGATGTGTACCAAATCATCTTTATTTCTCCTCCCAGTACAGCAGCACTGAAATTAAGACCACTCTGTGGCAGTCCCAACCCACTCAGTGGCCTGAGCTGTAGGAGCTGCTGACCAGTCCTCCGTGGCAGGCTGGGCACTCCAGTCCTCTGCAATGACAAAACATAAGAACCCTGAGTGTACCCCCGGTTCTTTCCACCCACTAAAACATGTTATGCACACAGCAATCCTTGTATATCCACATACAAGTACCCACAAAAACTACCTAATGGAGATCTCATGCCCCCAAAATAGCCTATTTGCGACTTTCGAGAAACACTAAGCCAAGGTAGGCACCTTGTATCAAGTTAGCATGAAAAGAAAGTTTGATGCATGAAGACATTCCCAGAAGAATAAAGTGCCTGATGAATGCTATTCAATTCTCCCTCTGTTTACGAAAGTGATCTCATTTCGTAAACAGATTCATTGCCAGTATTGTTCACATCTCTGCAGCTAATTGGATATAGGTAAGACTTTTCATTTCTGCTCCCTAGATCCCACTTCCCCTCAACATCCTTTCCCCTGCCCCAAACTGACCTGTGGGGAACTGTTGGATTGGCACAGATGGGACCTGCACTCCCTCAGACCAATCGGCAACCTCAGGCTGAGGAGGAGCAGTGAATTCAGGAGCTGGGGCCGTCCATTCAGTCTGGAACTCCTCCTTTGTAACTGCTTTCTCCGCTGCAGCCTGCTCCTCCTTCTCAATCTGCACGGGAACAGCATAGCTTAAGTCGAACAGAACACCTTGCACCATCATATGCCAGGCAATATGCACTGACTGCAGACAAGGCAACTCATTAAACACACTCCTAAGGTCTAATTATCATATTGGCAAAAACCTATCCTCCAGTGGCAGGCACGCAAGATGATGGACAGGAGCACACACAACAGTATCTCACATAAGCACACTTCCACAGATCTCCTACCTCCTCAGGATCCCTGTAGAAGTACAAGTCAGGCATGACTTCCCATGGGTGCTCACGGGAAATTGTGCCACGCATACGCAGGACCTCCCGAGCCAGCATCCACCACATGAGACCCACTGAATGTGCTCCCTTAAAACAGGAAAATAAAGTATTTAAGTTCTGCTTCAAAGTCAAATCTTTAAAAACCACTTTAAAAACAAAAAGTATAAAAGGTGTGTTTGCACCAAGTCCAGCTTACATCTTGGTAAGCAAAAGGCACAATTTGCTAGTGCCTGACAAACCTATCATGCACTTGGACTCCAGAAAGAACAGCTTTTCAAGACCCCAGTCTTGAAAGACTGAGACATTTTCCAAGTCTCTACAGAAACAGAAGCATGTTTCAATCATCAGCGTATTAATTTTCAATATACAGCATAGCCTGAATCAACTCTCCTGCTATGGAAGTTTGTACTGCCCACTCTCTCACATATACCCACTCCAAAAGACAGGGGCTCATCACGTGCAGCTATGCACAAATGAAAACCTGACCACAAAAACTTTACGTATCTGCTCAGCCTTGGCTTTGGTTAATAACATCTAGACAGATATCATCAGCAAAGATAGTCTTCATCTCCCTAAACTTTATCCTTCAGATTGTTTTTTGAGAAGAATAGATACCAGTTCAGAGAAGTTTCCTCATCAATTCCCTTTACTTTTTCATATTCACCAGCTGTGGCAAGAATGACTATCAAACTCCATTCACTGGGCCACAAAGACCCTCATGGTGTCAGCGAAAAATCCTGCCAGGTTACTATAGCACACGTCCTACACTTGAGAGTTCCTTGGCCAAAAATCGGCCTCAGCTCCAAGCTCCAACTGTGTGCAGTTTAACTCCTCCTTCCCACCCACCCTCCATCCTGCCCAAAGCCTTCATGAGCTCTGCACCCCGTTAGATATACTAGATACATGCCAACTTTCCCCTGTAAAAAGCCTCCATCTTGCAGCCTAGGGTGTGCCCTAGCTTTGAATGCGGTAACGAAGAATTTACCTTATTGTTGCATGGAATAGCAATATCCACATAGCGCAGTGGGGAGTCAGTGTTGCACAGTGCAATGGTGGGGATATTGACATAAGATGCCTCTGTCAACGGCTGATGATCTGCCCGAGGGTCTGTAACAACCAGAAGTCTCGGCTCACGGAAAGCTGCCTGGATCTGATTTGTGAAGGTACCAGGAGTGAAGCGTCCAGCAATAGGAGTAGCTCCAGTGGCAGCAGCAAACTTCAGAACAGCACGCTGCAAAGTGGATCACAACAAAGGTGAAGCAGGAAAACTCAATTTCAGCTAAGTCACTCAGGTATGCTATCAGTGAAGACTCATGAATTTCAATTGAAACTGAACATGGACATGTGGCAAGGACTACTATCAAGCGCCAATCATAGAGGGAGCTCCTCTCCTGGTGTTAGCGAAAACCCTGCCATTTGGTTTGCTGTAGCACACTTCCGACACTTGAAAGCTCATCGGCCAAAAACTGACCTCAGCATCAAGCTTTAACAGTGTGCAGGTGAAATAAATGGAAGGCCATGCTTTTCCTGTGTAAATCCACCCCACTGTACTCCAAATTTTCAAGTACGCTTGTGGCACCACCTGGATTACTCTAAAAAAGCTAGGCTCACAGGTAAACTTCAATAGCCACTTAGACTGTATTTGAAAGGCTGTGACCCTTTGTATGATAAAACCCTTTCTCTAAAAATCTAGATATACTGAAATACAAGAAATTTAAAATGTACTTGTTACTGTTTCTTGCTCAATAACAGAGCAATTATTTCTTCTTTTAGCACTTTTCTATCAGATGCTCACTGTCCCCCAAAAGCAGTACCCATCACTACAGGAATGGTTTGGGGCAGGGGGTGACAGCTAAAATGCTCAAGTTCAGCAAGAAGTACCCAAGGCAGTATATGAAAGAATAACAAACTATCCAGCTGCCCCCTCTCTCCCCTGAAACCTACAGAAATGTGTGGGGAGGTGTTAAGTTTCCATGAATCTCTTCTGAACCGCAAGCGTAACAAAAGTCTTAATTCAAAAAAGCATTCCAAACGCCAAATTTTGGATCACCCCTTTTATCATCAAGTTGTTACTTGCAAGCACTATGCAAGGTGAGGGAGTCTTGCTCCCAAGACTGCAGGCCTCATGACCAGTGAGCAAGCTCCATACCTGTCCTGTATTTCTGGAGGAGATGACGCTCACATCAGCTGGATTCTCAATGGCAACGATGGCACGGGCTGCTAGGAGGAGCTTTTCCCAGGTTCTCTTCAAATTGATGATATAAATGCCTATGGGTGATAAAGGAATTTAAACACAAGATCCTAATCAGGATCACACTCTTTATTTTTATTAAACTTCTCACACAACCTCCATTACTCTCAACCTCCAGTTCTTGTGAAACTTCTGTACCAGGAAGAACCCTGCCACATGGTTTTAGCGTAGCATACTTCCAACCCCAGCCAACACAGACCAGGGCCCGGTATGAGCTGCAAACTTGCAACACAGTGCAGCTCCAATTTAAAAAAAGCACAAGCAAGAAGCAGAAATTACTACTGAAGCAACAAAACCACTTTATTACTAAAATCAAAATCTAGTAGAAATGCCCATATGCACTTTTGATTGATTTATTAAGTTCTAAAAAACACCTTTAGGCTTACATGTTTCAGCCCTTAAAGAGTCTTGTACTCTTCAGCCCACACAGATGCCACTGGAAAGCTCAAGCATTGACACTTTCCTGTTTTGCCCAGCTCTGCCCTAACACCTAGCTACCCCCATCTGCCTGAACCAGTTACAACCAGGACCGCCCACCCTACATATTCACCATCGCTCTTCCTTTTGTAGATATACTGCTCCATCTGAAAGTCAAGGTTGGTGCCTCCCAGGTGGGTCCCGGCAGCAAGGAATTTGAGGACATCCTCCTCTTTCATCTGCAGGACATCGAGGCCTCCGGACATTGTGGAGTTTCCCTTTAGAAGCGACGACAGGGAACCTGCTGTGACAAACACCGCGTTTCAGCCGCGCGGGGTGCCCCGTTCCACGAAGGCCTGGGCCAACGTGTCCGCCAGGCGCCTCAGCCGCCATTTTGG